CCTAACGTTACCTAAGTTCCTATAAGCATTCACAAATCCGTATAGCCTGTATATCCTTCATTTCAAGCTGAAAATAGATTTTTAATATAGTGTATAAAATGCATACGGTCTCAGTCAGGTGACAGATAAAATAGATAAACAGGTATCTATTAGCGAAATCTAATAGTCTGATTCTGTAATCGCGTTTCCCCCAAGGAGAAAAACATCTAATTCACCTACAAAGTCTATTTCAGACTTAGTGGGTTTGGGCTTAAGGCCAATATCAAGCTCTGTCTTAAGACCAACCACAATAGCTTCCTCAACCAGCAAGTATACTCTTTATTCCTGAACATTTACCAGGACTAAAGTATACTCTATAAATATACACCAACAAGACGGTTTTTACACCTCGGTGTATGTGTGTATGTGTGTGTGTATATGTGTGTGTATGTGTGTGTGTGTGTGTGTATGTGTGTGTATGCGTGTATGTGTGTGTGTATGTGTGTATGTGTTTGTGTATGTGTGTGTGTATGTGTGTGTGTATGTGTGTGTGTGTGTATGTGTATGTATCCTTGTGTATTGCTGCAGTTCAGATAACTAAACTGATAGATCATGGCTAGTTTTAATGTATTCGAATCTAACAAGTTAAATGAGTTTATAGTTAACTGGGTTAAAGATAACAGGACTTAAGTTGTGATGACCAAAATTGCAAGATAGTTAACTGTTATCAAGACGTTTCGGTCCGTTTCGGTCCGTCCAGGACGTTTCGGTCCGTCCAGGACGTTTCGGTCCGTTTCGGTTCGTCCAGGACGGACCGAAACGTCGTCGTCTCTCCCTCTTCTGATGTATGGTATGGTGTTCACTTCTTCAGCCTATTGTGACTCGTCGTCCGCACAGGGTTAAGGTTAACAAGGTTAATGTTAAATGGGTTACAATTAACTGGGTTAATATTAACCTGGTTAAAGGTAACTGGATTAAAGTTATCTGGGTTAAAGATAACAAAGTTACAGTTAATTTGGTTAAAATTAACCGGGTTAACGTTAAATGGGTTAAAGTTAACGGGGTTAAAGGCATCTCACGTCGAAGACTCATCTGGAAAACAAGTTTCAAGAATCTGGAACGACGTTGAAAAAAGAATTGCAATATGTCTTTGTAACTTGCAATGTTGCACTGTGTATACACTGTCTCTGTGATCATCGTAAGTCCATCGTTGCTGTGAGTCACTCGTGTTTATCTGAGGCACTTGCGTTGGGGGGAGGGAGGCACTTACGTGTTGAAGCACTCATGTTGTGAGGTATATTGTGAGGTCTGTGGAGTGTATGAGGGTGTGTGTGTGCGTGTGTGTGTGTGTGTGTGTGTGTGTGTGTGTGTGTGTGTGTGTGTGTGTGTGTGTGTGTGTGTGTGTGTGTGTGTGTGTGTGTGTGTGTGTGTGTGTGTGTGTGCATCTCCAGAAGTTAGAAAGAAGAAGATAGACAGAGATCAATATTAAAAGTGAAACGCAAAAATAAAAATCAATACTAAAAAGACAAAAAAAAAGACTTAAAAGACTAAAAAAAATGAGAGTGACTTAGTCACTCACGAAAAAAAGTACGCGGAACGAAAAAAAAGAAAGAAAATAAAGTTTTTCTATCTCAATCGAAGACATTTGTCGTGAGCACAAGACGTTCAAGTGAGGTCTAGACGGAAGATCACTGACCTCCTTGTAGTCAATGACTGGGATCCGACGACCTCCTTGTGGTCAATGACTGGGATCCTACGACCTCCTTGTGGTCAATGACTGGGATCCGACGACCTCCTGGTCAATGACTGGGATCCTACGACCTCCTTGTGGTCAATGACTGGGATCCGACGACCTCCTTGTGGTCAATGACTGGGATCCGACGACCTCCTGGTCAATGACTGGGATCCTACGACCTCCTTGTGGTCAATGACTGGGATCCTACGACCTCCTTGTGGTCAATGACTGGGATCCTACGACCTCCTGATCAAAGAGGGAACGACTGACGATGAATTCCTCCATCGGTCGGTTATCTGAGGGCCTCATGTCGACATCTCATTCTTTCTTGACATTGTTTACTAAATCAATACCTGCAATCTTTGCCATGACGTGAAGCACACACGTCTGGAGGCGAATGTGCCAGTCTCAGCGCCTGGAGGAATTTCAGCGCCTGCAAGACTGACTCCCAGCACCTGGAGGAGCTCCAGGCTAGCCAACCATAGGGCCAAGATGGGGGTGTGACGCGTCCCGCCAAACACGCCAAACACGCCAAACACACGCGCCATCAAGCTGCACTCAACATTGTGTGTTCGTTCTTCCAAGAACCAGGTGGTGGCGTCGTCAAAGCGTGGGGGGGGGGGGGGGGACCAAGAGCTGCAGCTCGGTGATAAAATAGGCACGTTCTTGTGGAAGAACGTACCTATTTAGTCATGGTATTTGGCATGCCATGATAGGGGGTGAGGGAAAAGGTTATTTGGTCTGTCACGTTCCCTCTGGCTGTGAGGTAAACACACACACACACACACACACACACACACACACACACACACACACACACACACACACACACACACACACACACACACACACACACACACACACACACACACACACAAATACACATTTGACTACAGGCAAATGTGTTACTATACAGTCATATAAGAAGAAAAATGTCGGTGAACGACCAAGTGACAAGACTAAGGAAACAGAGAGGGCATATACTGAAAGTGACAAGGAAATCTGCGAGGTACCTGTTTGTGCACAAATATCAACATGGGTTCTGGACAGGGAAATCGTGCCTAACGAGCCTTTTGGAATTCTATGATAAAATAACGAGGATAAGACAGGACAGAGATGGTTGGGCAGACTGCATATTTCTGGATTGCTAAAAAGCCTTTGATAAAGTACCGCACATGAGACTGCTGTTCAAGCTCGCACACCTGGAGAACATTAGGTTTGTGAACAAACATCACATGGGTTCTGGACAGGGAAATCGTGCCTAACAAACCTTCTGGAATTCTATGATAAAATAACGAGGATAAGACAGGACAGAGATGGTTGGGCAGACTGCATATTTCTGGACTGCCAAAAAGCCTTTGATACAGTACCGCACATGAGACTGCTGTTCAAGCTCGAGAGGCAGGCGGGGTGGGGGGAAAGGTCCTAGAATGGATAAGGAACTACCTAACAGGAAGGAGCCAAAGAGTTACGGTAAGGGGCGAGAAGTCGGACTGGCACAGTAACAAGTGGAGTACCACAAGGATCGGTGCTGGGACCAATTCTATTTCTTGTATAGAGGCAGGCGGAGTGGGAGGAAAGGTCCTAACATGGATAAGGAACTACCTAACAGGAAGGAGCCAAAGAGTTAAGGTAAGGGGCGAGAAGTCGGACTGGCGAACAGTAACAAGTGGAGTACCTCAAGGATCAGTGCTGGGACTAATTCTATTTCTAATATATGTTAACGACATGTTTACAGGAGTAGATTCCTACATGTCGATGTTTGCGGATAATGCAAAGTTGATGAGAAGAGTTGTGACAGATGAGAATTGCAGGATCCTCCAAGAGGACCTGAACAGGTTGCAGAGATGGTCAGAGAAATGGCTACTGGAGCTCAACACGAGTAAATGTAAAGTTATGGAAATGGGACTAGGAGATAGGAGACCAAAGGGACAGTACACAAAGAAGGGGAACAGCCTACCTGTGACGACGCGCGAAAGAGACCTGGGGGTGGACGTAACATCTAATCTATCTCCTGAGGCACATATAAATAGGATAACGACAGCAACGTACTCTACACTGGCAAAAGTTAGAACATCATTCAGAAACCTACGTGAGGAGGTATTTAGGGCGCTTTACACTGCCTACGTGAGGCCAGTCTTAGAGTATGCCGCCTCATCATGGTGTCCCCATCTGAAGAAGCATATAAGGAAACTGGAAAATGTTAAGAGGTTTGCAACGAGACTCGTCCCAGAGTTACGAGGGATGGGGTATGAGGAGCGCCTGAGGGAACTGTGCCTTACTACACTAGAAAGAAGAAGGGAGAGGGGGGACATGATAGGAACGTATAAGATACTCAGAGGGATTGACAGAGTGGACATAGACGAAATGTTCACACGGCATAGTAACAGAACGAGGGGACATGGATGGAAGCTTGAAACTCAGATGAGTCACAGATGTTAGGAAGTTTTCTTTTAGCGTGAGAGTAGTGGGAAAATGGAATGCACTTCAGGAACAGGTTGTGGAAGCAAATACTATTCATAATTTTAAAACCAGGTATGATAAGAAAATAGGACCGGAGTCATTGCTGTAAACAACCGATGCTCGAAAGGCGGGATCCAAGAGTCAATTCTCTATCCTGCAGATACATATAGGCGAGTACAAATAGGTGAGTACATTCACTCTTAACATAACAGCACTCACACACGTACAGTGTTATGTAAGAACACACACACACACACACACACACACACACACACACACACACACACACACACACACACACACACACACAGACCCGCCCACAAACACACTTTCGCTACCTCACATAAAACTCCACCAGCAGCGGCTCCTGAAGGAGACGAGGTACAGAGGGCACCTCCAGAGGGCGTACTGGCTGTCTCTGAAGACCTGGTGCTCTTGTTTGCCTCTCACCGTGTGTTTGTGTGTGTTTGTGAGTGTTTGTGTGTGTTTGTGCTAGGAGGCCGGCCACACCAGTGATGGAACCAGTTGTTTGTGTAACGTATTCATAGCCTTGTCGTGTATTTATCGTGCATTTAGCATGTATTGCTAGTTTCTGTACATTTTGCTAGTTTGTGTATGTATTGCTAGTGTTTATGTAAGGATAGTTTCAGCATGTTTTGCTAGATTTAGCATTTCTTGCTAAATGTTACCATATCTTAACTAGCTAACCAATGGTAAACTGATGAGGTATTGCTAGTTTTAGCACGTTTAGCTGGTAATATTAGTCATGTCTACTTACTGCTGATTACAGCAATGTGGTCTCCTACCCGTGGCGCTGCTGACGATGGGGGGGATGTTTGGAGCGTGCCTGGCCGAGGTCGTCCCCGCCACAACAGGAGGTAGTCCAGTCGTCCAGGACCCAGGCGACTACCTCCCACTGCTCTCAGCCTTCAACGGCGTCACCACCCATGGCTTCCACAACGCTGACGGCAGCTATAATTTCTCCTTCTCCATCCCGCAGCAGGCCCGGCAGGAGGCCAGGGCTGTCGACGGCAAGGTGGGGGGTAAGGTTCGGTTACGTAGGGTAAGGATTGGTTTTGGTTAAATTAGGTTTGGAATACATTAGGTTACATTAGGCTACATCTCCGGTAGGTTAGTCTGTTTTGATGTCTTAGATTCGGTTCATTTGGTTTCGAAACTATGGAACTATGGAACTGGCTATGGTAGGTTGAATTTAAAGGTTTGTTTTGTCTAGGTTGGATTTTGGTTATCTAGCCTCCACATAAACACATAGAATCTCCAGAATTACTGGAGGCAAATTTTTGTGAATAAAGTCATTTAGGTCAGATAAATCTATCAGTGGAACTTGAACTTAGCTAATTAAAACCAATTATGTGCACAAATTTGTTTAACAATGTACAAATATCTTTAAACCAACGATGAATCCACGACATGTGAAAGGAATGAGCTTATTAAGAGATAGAAAAACATATTATATATATATATATATATATATATATATATATATATATATATATATATATATATATATATATATATATGTCGTACCTAGTAGCCAGAACGCGCTTCTCTGCCTACTATGCAAGGCTCGATTTGCCTAATAAGCCAAGTTTTCATGAATTAATTGTTTTTCGACTACCTAACCTACCTAACCTAACCTAACCTAACTTTTTCGGCTACCTAACCTAACCTAACCTATAAAGATAGGTTAGGTTAGGTTAGGTAGGGTTGGTTAGGTTCGGTCATATATCTACGTTTATTTTAACTCCAATAAAAAAAAATTGACCTCATACATAATGAAATGGGTGGGTTTATCATTTCATAGGATAAAAATTAGAGAAAATATATTAATTCATGAAAACTTGGCTTATTAGGCAAATCGGGCCTTGCATAGTAGGCTAAGTGCATTCTGGCTACTAGGTACGACATATATATATATATATATATATATATATATATATATATATATATATATATATATATATATATATATATATATATATATATATACATACATATATTACCACCACCAAACACACAGCCACCACTAACCACCACAAACCAACCAACCACTAACATCACCCAAACTAACCACCACAGAAGAACCACACTACCGCCACACTACCACCACACTACCACTACCAGCAACGGAAACACTCATAGTAGATAACGAAAGATATAAAAACGAGAAAACACCAGCCACAAACACAACAACAAACAACATTAATAACCAGAACCAAACAATTGATAACCAGAACCAAACAATTGATAACCAGAACCAAACAATTGATAACCAGAACCAAACAATTGATAACCAGAACCAAACAATTGATAACCAGAACCAAACAATTGATAACCAGAACCAAACAATTGATAACCAGAACCAAACAATTGATAACCAGAACCAAACAATTGATAACCAGAACCAAACAATTGATAACCAGAACCAAACAATTGATAACCAGAACCAAACAATTGATAACCAGAACCAAACAATTAATAACCAGAACCAAACAATTAATAACCAGAACCAAACAATTGCTTGCTTCGATCACATCTCCCAGCGTCATGGGCAGCTCCGAGATGCAGTTTTGTCAATAACTGGAGTTCTACTTTTGCTTCCTAATGTCACAGAGGCGGCCAGTGAAGGGAGTGAGGGAGGGGGAGAGAGGGAGGAAGTGATGGAGAGAGAGAGAGAGAGACAAGGAAGGAGGAAAGAAGTGAAGTAGAAAAGCCTAGAGAGAGTGGAGAAGGGCGGTAGAAAAGCCTAGAAAGAAAGAAGGAACCAGGAAGGAATGTAGGGAGAGAGAGAGAGAGAAGGAAGGATAGAAAGGAAAGAATAAGAACCATCCAGGGTGACAAAAACCAGCAGTCGCCCCGACAGGTCAGAGAAGCAAAAAAGCCATAGAAAACGGAATGAGGTGTACTAGCCAATAGCTTGGCCTGGCGCCAACTTGACGCAAGCACACACACACACAGCCCGTGCAGACGCAAGTGTCGCCACGCACACACACACACCCGTACACCCCTCACCTAACACCACCAACACGCACACACACGCACAAATGCGTGCATACAGGTACATGGGGTTTCTAATGAACAAATTACCCAACTGGAAGCCCAATAAAGAAGTGTGGATCGACCAATAGGAAGAGCGGACGGGCTAATACCTCGTAGGCTCTAGTTGACTCAAAGACAGACTCAGACGCACTCACAGAAACAGGCTCCGATAGAAAGGAAGTTGAGTAATTGCTGATCAGAGCAGCCGGAGAGGGTCGCTATAAAAACGGAACTCCTCTGAGGCAATAGTTTAGAGAACACACACTACAGATGGGTGTGGCAGACAGGCGGGATACAGTGGGTTATTACAGTGGCTGGCTCTGTCTTTGGTGGTGAGACAGGGCCCCCAGGAGGCTATTACAGTGGCTAGTTCTGTCTTTGGTGGTGAGACAGGGCCCCCAGGAGGCTATTACAGTGGCTGGCTCTGTCTTTGGTGGTGAGACAGGGCCCCCAGGAGGCTATTACAGAGGCTAGTTCTGTCTTTGGTGGTGAGACAGGGCCCCCAGGAGGCTATTACAGAGGCTAGCTCAGTTTTTGGTGGTGAGACAGGGCCCCCAGGAGGCTATTACAGTGGCTGGCTCTGTCTTTGGTGGTGAGACAGGGCCCCCAGGAGGCTATTACAGTGGCTAGTTCTGTCTTTGGTGGTGAGACAGGGCCCCCAGGAGGCTATTACAGCTGCTAGCTGTCTTTGGTGGTGAGACAGGGCCCCCAGGAGGCTATTACAGTGGCTAGTTCTGTCTTTGGTGGTGAGACAGGGCCCCTAGGAGGCTATTACAGTGACTAGTTGTCTTTGGTGGTGAGACAGGGCCCCCAGGAGGCTATTACAGTGACTAGCTGTCTTTGGTGGTGAGACAGGGGCCCCCAGGAGGCTATTACAGCTGCTAGTTGTCTTTGGTGGTGAGACAGGGCCCCCAGGAGGCTATTACAGCTGCTAGTTGTCTTTGGTGGTGAGACAGGGCCCCTAGGAGGCTATTACAGCTGCTAGCTGTCTTTGGTGGTGAGAAAGGGCCCCCAGGAGGCTATTACAGTGGCTAGCTGTCTTTGGTGGTGAGACAGGGGCCCCCAGGAGGCTATTACAGCTGCTAGTTGTCTTTGGTGGTGAGACAGGGCCCCCAGGAGGCTATTACAGCTGCTAGTTGTCTTTGGTGGTGAGACAGGGCCCCTAGGAGGCTATTACAGCTGCTAGCTGTCTTTGGTGGTGAGACAAGGCCCCCAGGAGGCTATTACAGTGACTAGCTGTCTTTGGTGGTGAGACAGGGCCCCCAGGAGGCTATTACAGTGGCTAGCTGTCTTTGGTGGTGAGACAGGGCCCCCAGGAGGCTATTACAGCTGCTAGCTGTCTTTGGTGGTGAGACAAGGCCCCCAGGAGGCTATTACAGTGGCTAGCTGTCTTTGGTGGTGAGACAGGGCCCCCAGGAGGCTATTACAGTGGCTGGCTCTGTCTTTGCTGGAAGGTAAAGACGTCAGAGGGGTGGAAATAGGCAGGGAAGTCCTGAGGCTTCGGCATGGTATATGACCCGTTGTTGAGGTGAATTTTTGGCCAAATAACTAATTTTTTGACCCAAAAAAACCTTCCTCATGTAACATTGGCGCGAAACTCTACCCCACCTCAGTTGACCTTGTTTCTGACCATCCATTTCTTCCCTAACTACGCCCTTCAGGTCACCGGATACTTCGCCTTCGTGGACAGGGTCGGGGAGGAGGTGTCTGTCCACTACGACGCCGACGAGGACGGGTTCCGTCCAGCGAGTGACGCACTCCCTCAGGTTGGTAACCCATTAAGACAGGAAAAAAAAGTTATCAATCATCTAATTTGCATATGCTGTCATTGCGAATACATAATGTTTCCTGTCCATGGACAAGCTCCAGTTGTCTCACTCCTCCCTCAGGTGCCCCAGGAGACGGAGGAAGTCTCCAAGGCAAGGCTACAGTTCAACAAGTACTTCGACCAGACGGAAAAGTTTCTCAAGGAGTTGGGGTCCTCTGGCGAAGATGACTCCTCATCCCATGAATCTGACGAAGACATCGATGAAGATTCTGACGAATCTGACGAATCTGATGAACTGGAGAGCACGAATAAGAAGATAATAAGGGAATAGAGAAACAGGCAGTTAGCATCGCTTCAAGAACCAGAAAAAGCAACAAGAACCAAGAGTCCTCAACCTCTTACGAAACCTGTACATCTTTCCCCAATCAGAGCGGTCTTGTTTACCTTTATTAACCAGTCTATGGGCTCCGAAGCGCCACCAAGTTGTTTACAACAATAACAACCTGGGGTTGTGAAGTTTCCAAGCTCGTCAGCTGTTTAAATGTAAACAAAGCCGCCAGAATTGTGGAGAATCATTCACTATTTCTAAATCTTATAAACAGAGGGATAATATGGCAAGTCTGTGAAGGAATATCTGTATTTTTCTACGAGATATTATTGCAAAATGAAGAATATTTAGTGAGTAAAAGTAGCTCAGTCGATTAAGGCAGCGTCTGGAATGCTCTCGGACGTAGGTTCGAATCCTCGTCACGGCCCCTTTGTGGATTTGTTAATAAAAGTGGTGTTATCTACACCCCAATTAACGGTGGGTATTCTCCTCGTGTAGCTTCTATTTCAAGAATAACGAATGAAGGTGAACTGAATAGGCTGAATGCTACACTTTTTTTACAGCCCGACGTTACAGACCGCTGCTGTAGCCGTCCCTGTATCTTTCTCATAGCTACAGACACGCCCTTACCTGTGTTCCAGTTTGTAATACCCCGGATTATGTGTTGAGGTCTTGTAATCTCCCTTCATGTTCGCTGAAGTGGAGCCAGATTCTGTAATCTCCCTTCACGTACGCTGAAGTGGAGCCAGATTTTGTAATCTCCCTTCACGTACGCTGAAGTGGAGCCAGATCCTGTAATCTCCCTTCACGTTCGCTGAAGTGGAGCCGGATTCTGTAATCTCCCTTCACGTACGCTGAAGTGGAGCCAGATCCTGTAATCTCCCTTCACGTACGCTGAAGTGGAGCCAGATCCTGTAATCTCCCTTCACGTACGCTGAAGTGGAGCCGGATTCTGTAATCTCCCTTCACTCCCCACTTAGAATTGTCACCATGACCAGTCAGACGTTTGGGACCCACATAGGAATATCAGTGAGGGAAAGGGAATGTTTGTTGTCTTCTTATCTCATAAACTCTAGGTGGATAGGAGGTGGATAGGAACCTCTAGGTGGATAGGACGTGGATAGGAACCTCTAGGTGGATAGGACGTGGATAGGAACCTCTAGGTGGATAGGACGTGGATAGGAACCTCTAGGTGGATAGGAACCTTCATCAGCAAGAGCTTGCTAGCCAAAACGCTTCCGTCAGTGCCTCCTCTCTACGACTCCTTAGCTACACTGAGAATATGAACCGTTTCTCCCCAGCAATAAAACCACCTTGACAGTGACGAGCATCACCTGTCACTGTCATGTCACCTGTCACTGTCATGTCACCTGTCGCTGTCACATCACACAGAGGCACACTGGTGTTCGAACCCCGCCCCCCCCCCTCCATATCAAGAAAATATAACTCCGGGGGGTGGGGTATATTTACACGTAAATATATTCCTCAGAAAATAATATAATAGCCTTCAATGGTTATACATTTTCTCCTGTATATCTATATTTAAAGGCTATACAGCACTCTAATACACACACTGGCTTTATATATATATATATATATATATATATATTATATATATATATATATATATATATATATATATATATATATATATATATATATATATATATATATATATATATATATATATATATATATATATATATGTGTATATATATATATATATATATATATATATATATATATATATATATATATATATATATATATATATATATATATATATATATATACATATATATATATTGCAACAAGTTCTTCAACAGCTGCAATGTTTAAACTGCGAAAGAAATATTGCTTAAACGTGACTGTTAGGACATCTTCATCGTGGTATTAAATACTCCTTTAAACCCTCATAAATCCCTTAAATCTTATACCTTAAATCCTTACCTTAACCTTAAATCTTAAAACCTTAAATCCCTCATGTAATAAGGCAAATACAAAAAATCTCCAGGAGGCCTATTATTACTGTAAATCGCTAAGGGATTTGGGCCTTAATCCACTAGTTCCCCCCTGGAACACGATCAGAAAATGGTTTCCAACACGAGCCAAGAGTGAACCCTGGGTTTCGAAGCGTCTTATCTCCCTGTCCATGGTTCGAACCCTGACCAAATGGGGCGTAGGGAATGTTATGTGTGAGAGACCACTGCACCTCAGTGGTGTGTAGACGCGAACATTATTGCATTCTAATTTCTGAATGTTTTTCAGTTTGGTTATGCTTTGGTTTGGCACCTGTGTGGTGATGCCTTGCTTGGGCACCTGTGTGGTTATGCTTTGCTTGGGCACCTGTGTGGTTATGCCTTGCTTGGGCACCTGTGTGGCTGTGCCTTGCTTGGGCACCTGTGTGGTTATGCCTTGCTTGGGCACCTGTGTGGCTGTGCCTTGCTTGGGCACCTGTGTGGTTATGCCTTGCCTGGGCACCTGTGTGGTTATGCCTTGCTTGGGCACCTGTGTGGTTATGCTTTGCTTGGGCACCTGTGTGGTTGTGCTTTGGTTTGGCACCTGTGTGGTGATGCCTTGCTTGGGCACCTGTGTGGTTGTGCTTTGGTTTGGCACCTGTGTGGCTGTGCCTTGCTTGGGAACCTGTGTGGTTGTGCTTTGGTTTGGCACCTGTGTGGTTATGCCTTGCTTGGGCACCTGTGCAGCTGTGCCTTGCTTGTGCACCTGTGTGTCTATGCCTTGCTTGTGCACCTGTGTGTCTATGCCTTGCCTGGGCACCTGTGTAGCTGTGCCTTTCTGCACACCTGTGTGAGCACATGAAAGAATGGATGAAACAGATATGCAAATATTTACCTTCTAATTGCACCGTAATTACCGTTCAGCCAGTTGTGAACCACGTGTTAAAGATCATTACACTTGTTCAACGACAAGAACACGAGAAGAACAGGGAGAAGAACTCAAGAACATTATAAACAAAAGAACGCCCAATCTTCCCATGACCGCCATTTGCAACTACGCCACTGTCCCCTTTGTAACTACGCCACTGTCCCCTTTGTAACTACGCCACTGTCCCCTTTGCAACTACGCCACTGTCCCCTTTGCAACTACGCCACTGTCCCCTTTGCAGCTACGCCACTGTCCCCTTTGTAACTACGCCACTGTCCCCTTTGTAACTACGCCACTGTCCCCTTTGTAACTACGCCACTGTCCCCTTTGTAACTACGCCACTGTCCCCTTTGTAACTACGCCACTGTCCCCTTTGCAATCACCTCGCGTCTCTGTTGCAATTGCAAAGTAGAAATTCGACAACTACAATTGCCTATGACTTAGCTCCTAGGCCCCAGCAGAGAGGTACACACCCCTGTGGGCTTGGTATTAGCTCCTGGGCCCCAGCAGAGAGGTATACACCCCCGTGGCTTGGTATTAGCTCCTGGGCCCCAGCAGAGAGGTACAAACCCCCGTGGGCTTGGTATTAGCTCCTGGGCCCCAGCAGAGAGGTACACACCCCCGTGGGCTTGGTATTAGCTCCTGGGCCCCAGCAGAGAGGTACAAACCCCCGTGGGCTTGGTATTAGCTCCTGGGCTCCAGCAGAGAGGTACACACCCCCGAGGGCTTGGTATTAGCTCCTGGGCCCCAGCAGAGAGGTACAAACCCCCGTGGGCTTGGTATTAGCTCCTGGGCCCCAGCAGAGAGGTACAAACCCCCGTGGGCTTGGTATTAGCTCCTGGCCCCAGCAGTGGGATACAAACCCCCGTGGGCTTGGTATTAGCTCCTGGGCCCCAGCAGAGAGGTACAAACCCCCGAGGGCTTGGTATTAGCTCCTGGGCCCCAGCAGAGAGGTACAAACCCCCGTGGGCTTGGTATTAGCTCCTGGGCCCCAGCAGAGAGGTACACACCCCCGAGGGCTTGGTATTAGCTCCTGGGCCCCCAGCAGAGAGGTACACACCCCCGAGGGCTTGGTATTAGCTCCTGGGCCCCCAGCAGAGAGGTACAAACCCCCGTGGCTTGGTATTAGCTCCTGGGCCCCAGCAGAGAGGTACACACCCCCGAGGGCTTGGTATTAGCTCCTGGGCCCCAGCAGAGGGATACAAACCCCCGTGGGCTTGGTATTAGCTCCTGGGCTCCAGCAGAGAGGTACACACCCCCGTGGGCTTGTTATTAGCTCCTGGGCCCCAGCAGAGAGATACACACCCCCGTGGCTTGGTATTAGCTCCTGGGCCCCCAGCAGAGAGGTACAAACCCCCGTGGGCTTGGTATTAGCTCCTGGGCTCCAGCAGAGAGGTACACACCCCCGTGGGCTTGGTATTAGCTCCTGGGCTCCAGCAGAGAGGTACAAACCCCCGAGGGCGAGGTACACACCCCCGTGGGCTTGGTATTAGCTCCTGGGCTCCAGCAGAGAGGGACAAACCCCCGAGGGCTTGGTATTAGCTCCTGGGCCCCAGCAGAGAGGTACACACCCCCGTGGGCTTGGTATTAGCTCCTGGGCCCCCAGCAGAGAGGTACAAACCCCCGTGGGCTTGGTATTAGCTCCTGGGCCCCAGCAGAGAGGTACAAACCCCCGTGGGCTTGGTATTAGCTCCTGGGCCCCAGCAGTGGGATACAAACCCCCGTGGGCTTGGTATTAGCTCCTGGGCCCCAGTTAGAGGAGTATTCCAGCTGCACAATCTAACGACACTGACCTCCAGCCCTCCCCCCCCCCCAATCAAAGGTTGCTTTCAGAAGCGCCCTCGTCTTCATGTACATCCAAATTGCTAGTTATTCCCCCAATCCGTGATTACCCTAGGCTGGTTAAAGCAGCGGCCGTCCTCCCCAGACGCATTCATCAATTTTAACATATAAATTATTAACATAATAAATTAACATATACAATTTTAACAAATATAAATTAATATTATGTATATTAGCATATTTAGCCATTAGTTATGTTAGGTGTTTAGGTTCTGTTGGCGATTATTTGTATTTGTAGTACGTGGGTGAAGCATTTATAGCGTTGTGGTTCGAAC